TCTTTTTGTTTCTTCCCTGGATCGGTTTCTCTTCCTTCCTCGAACTTCAAAACAGACGTGATGATTGGTTTTGTTCTGGGGCGAAGAGGCTGGACACAAAGGAGATTGGTAGGGGGAGGGGGCGAAGGAGAAATAATAGTGCCAGTTTGTTACGTGGGGATGTCAACTGGGGCTGCAAATTCGTGCGTGATACTGCCCAAAGTTTGCCCTGCAGGTTGACCGTCCCTACTTTGCACATAAGTAACGATAATCATAAAACGCGGGATAGGTTAAATCATGTGTTTAAGCTGTACAGGCATACCGATGTGCATACAGAAGGAGAAGGTGTATATTTTTTAAACACTTGTTGGCGCTCGTGGTGGATTCATACAAATGCGGGTGTTGGGCCGAGGGGGAAAATTAAAAAAGGAAAAGAAAAGGAAAGAAATGGGCCTGTGAATAAATGCATTAAGAAGGGTTGCGCGGGTACATGTCGCGTGCACTGGTTGGGAGCGTTTTTTTTGGGCATTTTTTTGCCACATTTTTGCTGTCCTTTTATGGGGCGCTCTTTTGGGTCATTTTTTTGCCGCGCCTTTTTGGGGATACTTTCTTTCTTTTTTTTTTTTTTTAAGCTGCCACATACGGCTGCATGTCGAATAACTAATTGGCTCATAAAAAAATATGCGACTTGCCTACCTGCTTAGGGGGGGGTGCCTTTTCAGCAATTAATTGCAATCCATTTCGGAAGTGATAAATGCATGGGGCGCACATGGAAGGAGGAAGTATGACGCTACGCAGTCAGTTAAATATGAAAGGTACCTTCCGTGTGGTCATAAATAAGCGCGCGTTTTTTTTTAAAAAGGGTCACGCAAGAGTATATGCCGGAAAAACGGAATTTGCCCACGTGCTTTTAGCGCCGATGCATATAGGGAAAAGCGGACAGAGTGGATCCTTTATTGGTGATAGCACAGTGGTGTGTTCGTGCGTACGACCTGACACCTGTCGTGTACGCCTCTTTACCTCACTGAGGAATGATAACGTCACCCTAAGTCGAACGAACGTATGATTCTTACTGAGAGAGTTAAATGAACGGCCTTTACGGGCTGCACACTTACGGCGCAGCAAGTTGAAAAAAAAGAGAAAAAAAAAAAAGAAAAAAGGAAAAAGGAAAAAAACGTTCCTTTTACGCTGAGCCAGATACACCCTACAGTCGTAACTTTGCTTGCCGACTATCTGCGTTGATCTCCTAAAATATGTGAAGGGTCCAGACGTGGAATCCTTCTGGAAGACAAGACGCTCCTTTCCGAGGTGGCAAAATGGGACAGCATTCCACTTCGCTTACCAAAGGAAAAAAGGGCCTCTTAAGTACACACAAACATGTATTGATATGCATATAAACTGTTAGCGACGTGGAAATTGGAAGAGGAAACATTTTTGCAAGACTTCGCACAGGAGAGACCCTTACGAAGTGGAGGTCCTATGAAGCCACTCCACAAGAGGTCACCCAACATAGGCACGAACAGAATATGTACACAGCAGCCCTCTTCCCTCTGCTTAATTTTTGTTTTTTATTTTATATACCACTTCGACTTTGCGACAACAAATTGAATTAAAACCGCACCAATGTAACAATACAAATTCGCGCCGCGTTTAAAGGGATCATTAATGCTGCACACTTTTGTTTTTTTCGAAAGTGACAGGGGTCCGGGACGAGAGTTTTTATTGTGTATGTTTCATCGTGCGAACGAGGCTCGGTTAAACATATCTCCTGCGGGTAACAAACAAAGGTAGGAAAGAAAGGGATGCCTCCCCCCCCGCCACAGAGTTTAAAGGAGGGTGCCGCGACCTTTGGCTTCATCAGTTTTAAAGATCGCTTAGCCCTTCATATGTCTTGCACAGGTGATTTTGTCGGCAGCATTTTGCCTGTATCATTTTAACGGTGAAATCTTCACAGCAACATATAAAGCAACCTTCAAAGCAACATCTTGAGAGTACCTTTTTTACACGCACTGCTTTATTTTTTCACCACCCGTTTATTGCGGTAAGTCCTCACACCAATTTGCAAACCTGATGAAACTCTTCCAATGTTTTCGTCCCTTCCCCAATGTCTAGTCACACCTCACTCCTACGAGGGGCTCGCTGAATTAAGTTTTCTTATTTATTTATTTCTGTTTTCGTGTGCAGTTTTGTGACAAATGTAACGCTCAACACTGTACAAAATTTTTATGCAGTATGTTCAGCTACTTTTAGGCAATTTTGGGGGTAATTTTTGCAGCAATTTTTGGCAATTTTGGGGCGACTTTTGGTCAATTTTTGGCAATTCTTGGGCGATTTTTGGGCAAATTTTGGGCATTTTCCTAACCTTTTTTCTTCACCTACCCCCGTAGCCTTTTGCCTTCCTCTCATTTTTGGCATCTAGAAGATTGGGATAAGCGCTTACACGTTTACTCTTACAGGCTTCACTCTTCACCCTTTCACAGCTTACACTTGCGCGCGTTCCCCTTCCTAGCGTCCCTTTACGCGCTTCCATTTTGTGACCACTCATTTTAAGAAACATACACGATGCGCGAATAAATGCGTCACACGAGCCTTACATTTGTACATGTATATGTATTCCGAAGTTAGGCACGTACCTGGAAGTGCCCTTTTGAATTCCACACCACTGACGAGCTTAACGCCAAGTTGCTTTCCTTATTACATCATTTCGTTATTTCCTTCGTGCGCTCTTTCTTTTTTTTTTTTGGAGGTTTCACGAACAGCACACACTTCACCTAAGCCGTAACCCCATATACACAGCGCTAATTCCCAAACTCATTGCATTTTCATTTATACCTAGAATTACGCATATGCAGCTAGAGTACCAAATGTGCATGTCCCTGCTATGTAAACTACTCCTGTTTGTACATTTCGCGTTAAGAAGCATGCACGTAGGAAAAGGCCATCTGAGGTGATTTTTTTTTTTTTTTTTGACGATTGTCCTTTGGCTCTTGCTTTAAATGATTGTTGAACACCCCTTTCACCGCATTTCCGTTTCATTGCATGCGTACCCCTTCCTTGAATGTGTATTCTGGCACGCTTGCGAATCCGCACTTGCAATTGTATCTAGTCTGTAGCATTTCGCGCCCATCACAAGACAAATGAGTGTGGATAATATCGCTTCAAAACCGTGCAAGGAGTAGCCCCACCCCCTTTGATTACCTCATTTCTGATGTGTTACTTCCATGGCGATTTCGTTCTTAGCCGTTATAGTTCTGCGTGACTTTGCCTGACTTAACCTCACCTTGTTTGTGTCTGTGTTTTTGCTTGTGTTTTTGGTTTATATTTTTTTTCTTTTTTTTTTCCACTTGTGGCGCTTCTCACATTTCGAGAGCCGCGCAACTATCACCTCTCGACTGCCTCCCGCCGATCCGCTTTGGACTCGCCAGTTCGATTTCCCGCTTGAAGAATGAAAAATTGTGTAATTTTACTTTTCCTGTTTTGCGCATGTATCAAGTATGTGAGTTGCCATGCGGATCAAATAATTAACGAAAAATTGACCAACCTGGTTTTTTTGAGTTGTAATTACCAAAAGGGGAAGAAAAATGAGACGCTAATAAAATCGGTGGAGAAAAGGAAGCCACAACTTATGCTCTGGATTGGAGATTATTTTTACTCAGAATGTAAAGAGTTGAAATGCCTTAACGAAGTGTATGATTATATTAAGAAAGATCCCTTCTACATAGGGTTAAAAAAAAAGTTTGTAATTGACGGCATATATGATGATCATGATTATAATAAAAATAATGGAGATCGACTGTATGAGCATAAGAAGGAAAGCAAAACGCAGTACTTAAACTATCTGAATGTGCCCAAAAATGACGTGAGGTACAAACGGAATGGAGCATACATTTCGAAATTGTATATAGACCCGGAGAATGAAAAAAATCAAGTGAAAATTATCATTTTAGACACCAGATATAACAAAGACCCGTACCCCTTCTATGCGCCTGACTCATACCATGACACTTTGATGCATATATTCCTCTCGTTCGTTGTTCGCTTTCACGCGGCTCTGTTCGGTCTACACTGCAACAGCAACAATGACATTTTGGGCAATGAGCAGTGGACGTGGCTGGAGAGGGAGCTCACCAACTCGAAGGCGCGCGCGCACATTGTCATTTCGTCCACGCAGGTAAAGGGGCCAGAGGGACGGATAAATGGATAGACAGATGGAGAGATAAAAACATAGAGAGATTG